CTCACTCTTCAAAGCAGGGTACCGGGGCCATCGCTCGTTCGATCGGCTCGACACGCTCGTCGCCTGGAGGCCAAAGGGGTGGTGGGGTGTGATGTGCCGCTCGCGCCTTTTTCCTCACATCACTGGGGTGGCGCACCACGCACATACTCCTAGAACTTGACACTCTGACCCATTGGACGTGCAACGACCACAAAAATGGCATAGAATATGCGGTTCTGTGAGCAAGGGAAGGAGCTGCTGCTGACATAGCGGGAGCACATGGCTCCCACAAGAGACTTGCATGAAACTGGGATCGATTACAGCAGGTTCTCCACATAGCCGACAGCTGCCACAGCTGGTGCTTTCTAGCTCAGCTTCCTTCAACGAATCTTCCACTTTGGCCAAGCAGTCCAGCACGGCAGATCTGACCACACTGCCTGGTAAGGCCTTGGCACGCTGTCGCCAGTATGCACACGCGGCCGCTCGAACGACTGGGTTTTTGGGAGGAAGTTCCGCCAGGAGGTATTTCCTACGAAGATCTCTGGTGGCTTTGTGGCCCAACTCCAGCAAAGCATTGCAAACTTGACACATTGCCAGCTCATCCTCTTCTACACCTGCAAAACTGCTCTGTCCTCCTTTTGCCGCGTTTAGCTCTGTGTCACTGGTCCAAGTCTTCAAAGCCAACTCATTCAGCTCGTGCCGGATCTGCGCGAGGAAATGCCTACGCCGGGGCGAAGCTTCAGACGCCCAGCGTTCGGTGAAGCTCTTGGGACTGCTCAAGGTGAAGGTGACTTGCTGTGCGGCCGTGTGGCGCAGTAGCAAGGACACCTTACAGCCAGCGGCACTACCTGTGGCACTGGAAGCCGCCGAATCGGAGATGTGTTGAAAGGCGCCTTGGAGGCCTTCTTGCAGTTCCCAAAGCCACTGCAGAATGGATTCCAAGAGTCCGTTCGGTAGTTCAGAACCTTCACAGGGCTTCTTCTCGTCCCAGCTAGCTCGACACATGGCACCAAGCGACTTGCCAGCACCGAAGACCATGCTGCGCCAAGCTTCACTCACATCCCAAAGGCTTAGATACAAAGGATAAGAGCTTCCGCCAGCCGCCTTCCGCCGTCTATGGTGGATGTGATCACCGTTGTCACATGTTTCACTCTGAGTCTGTTCCATTCCTTCCGGTCGAGACGGTCTCCGCGCGGCCCTTCCGGTCGAGACGCTCTCCCGGCGGCACCTTCTTCGATACAACGAGTCGCCCACGTTCCGAAGCAGTGCAGTGAAGGCATGGGCTGGGCTTCCCAAAGAGCTGGCAAGAAGAAAGGTCACCGGACGGATCTGTGTCGTGCGGGTGGAAGGAAGAACTGTTTGAGTGACGAGCATGCAATGGCTGGGTGACAAGGCGAAACCTGAGTGGTCAAAAAACCGGAATCATGCAATATTGTATGCACGATAAATGCAATTTCCTCATATGTTGTCCACTCTTTGGGATAGAACATGATAGAACCACGATGACAGGTCCAAATGGTTCAAACAGATTCAAAACGAGGATCCATCTAAAGGACCTGTCTACAGCTGAGAAACCACTGAACAGCTTCTTATCCTGCAAAAGTTCTCGCTCACGAGCAGCCGTTCTCACCATCCGAGTTTCCATACAGATCGCTGCTTGCTCCGCAGCAGTGAGATAGTTCTGCATGCTCTTTGCCACCAAGCTGCAAAACCTGCTCGGTCTCAGGAAAAGACCACGGCATGAGCCCTCTTGTGCCTCAGCTTCCTCCAGCTGCCAAATGACTGCATAGCCCGATGAGTCCAAGGTGAGCACGTTGGCGCGGCTCACGAAGGAGGAGCCCAACATAGGATCGGACGCCGCCAAAACGCCGGTGGTGTCACAAAGCAAAGAAACAATTGGGAGTCCGTGGCAAGGTGTCGAGGCCATCAGCCAGGAGACGTGCTCTGCTTCGTGGCGGGTGCTCTTTTCGCGTCGCGAGCGTGAGGTCTCCAGGTGTCCATCGTCTGAGATGCGAAGCACGGCACAGGAGAGCTGGACGCCATGGGCAATCGCCACCAGCAAATCAGTCGAATCACCATCAGCGTCACAGAAGACCTTCACCTCTGTCACACAGCGGTCCGCAGTTTCCAAGTCGGAAGTTGAGATCGGTGAGATCCGAACCTCACGGTCCTTGTGATCTTTCGTTGAAAGGTGTAGCTGCTTGAAGTGAAGACGTCCAAGCTTGGTACCCAAAACAAGCATAGACTTGAGAGTCTGCGGTTGTGCTCCAAAGCTTCTTGATACAGTCAAAGCAGTAATGACCTCAGAATCCAATGAGATAGACTTCACCAGCTGACAAGTTCCACTTGGGAGGCAGTGCCAAATCACCACATGAGGCCCTTTGCTGGCACATAACACAGCAGAGAATCGTTTTCCACTTGGCCGAACTGTTCCTGCCTTTCCTATCTTCCGCTCGTCTTTGCGCTCGTCTTTCCCTGTGCGTCCTTCAGACTCGATCAAGACTGGTGTGGGTGCGAAGCACACCTCCACCACCCCATTGGAGTCAGTGACTCTTCTCTGCAACTCTTGGAGCTCTACAGGCTCATGCGCCTCATCGCAGGGAGCATAGACCGTCACGTGGCCACTCGAATCGCCCACGGCCAGCAGAAACGATGCTTGAGGCGAACATCCCGCCGGAGACCACGACATCGAGCAGCACTTCCTCTGGGCCTCGAAGGGAGCCGAGGAAGACCTCTCCTCCCGCAGGCGCTTGGAGGGCGTGATCCTGAGGACAGGACGGTTGGGGGGAGACCATATGGGATCTGAATCTGAATCAAAGAGGGAAAACAAGGATCAAACACGACGAGTCTGGGACTGCCAGTTCGGACTGCCGCCCCAGACAGACCCCAAACAGACCGACAGACCACCAAGTCCTGGCCGTTTCTCGGCATAGAATGGCAGTCCCAAGCAGGTCGTGTCTGGGAAGAATCAAACATCCAGGGATCCAGTTACCTCTATAAACCATGTCGGTGACTCCAATGGTTCCTATATGGGCCATAAACCTCCGATCTGGTTCGGGTTCGTGGGATCAGCGGATCCGCTGATTCAAAACGGTGAACAATTCGTGTGAGTATAAGCACAAACGCACGCACCAGGGCGCACCAGGTCATGTCTCATAACACTCATATGAATGGTATAATGTATGCTTTAAGGCCAAAGACCTTACATGTCAGCCAAGCTTCGACTTCTCCTTCTCTTTCTCACCGTGTTTGAACTTCCTCACCAGCCAAGCCTCGCCGGTCTTCTCCAAAGCTGCCTGCATGTCGATCACATAGCATTCCTCGTCCGTCAAGAAGGACAGCAACGTGCCTTCCTGGGAGCTGCTTTAGTCAGGAACCGGTAAAAGAATCTACTATTCAGACCACTCCATTCGTCCAGCAGCCTTGGAGCTGCAGATGCTGCAGTCCTGATTCAGCCAGTCTGAAAAAACCACAACATCACCCGTTTTTTACATCACTCGCGCGACTGGCATGGAGTGTTTTTTTTTTCCCATGGCATGTCTCGGATGCTGGATGATGAAAATCCTCTGTACATGGCAGGTGATGCCATCCACAGAAGGATCCCATGACCCCAGATGTGACCCGTTCAGCCCCAAATCCTTTGGAGGGGTTTGGGGGGTCGAAGCCTGGGGTCGAATCTGTTCCAATCTCTATAGGTTTTGAGGGACCAGTTGGGCTGTGAAGGGAACATCTGGGTACATTGAACACATCTTCAAATCCCCCAACTGATCGCCACCAGGTGACCATCCTGTCTGGGTGCCCATCCGCACCCTGTAATCCGCGGATCTCCAGACAGGATCAAACAGGACTCCCAAAAAGGATAGTCCAGTGGTCCAGGTACAAAACAGCCGTCAAATCCATTTCCAATGTACCTGGACTTTTGCATACCTCCTCCGAAAATCTGGGCCCCCCATATGTCGTACCTGTTTTGGTGTTCGGGTCGGCACTACCACCGAAGGAAGGGCTTCTATCTCGGAGTGCCGACTCCTCCGATTCTCCGAGCGTCCGACCACCGCGGCGTGCCACGACTGGGCGACGCGCACACCGCCGAGGCCGCCGCCACCCAGGGCAGCTCGGTCTCCATGGTGGAACCGAGGCCCGCGAGGCCAGTGCGTTCGGAACGTCCAACGGGGATATTGCTTGGATGTGCTTTCGCTTTCGAAGTGTACTTCGAGATATTGAGCGCGGTCAAATAAATCTAAAGACATCTAAAGACATCGCAAGAAAGGAGCCAGTTTAGCTGTAGATGCGTTTTTTTTTTCGGTCTGTTGAGGTCATCCTTACTCAGTGATCAGTGACTACTAATTGAGCCTTCAAAGTCACAAAGTTCGACCAAAGGTCTATTCATTGATCCATGTGTCAATACTGCCTGGAGGGACTTGGGTGAAAAACACCAGATGTTCTAAACCGCGTGTCTAAATCATTGAGTACAAACGCGTGAACCGCAGCAACTTTGGCGAAACGGCTTGCAGGCGATGACGCCAGCTTGGACGGACGCATCGAGTGTCTAACATTGTCTGACGATGGCAGGTGCGACTGCTGAGAAATTTGAGGATGCCGAGGTTGAATCGGAAGAATGGGGATGGTTTTGGGTGAGAGAAGACGAGGTTATGGCTACATCTTTTATGGATCGGGCATCGGTCCCCAGATCTTCTACCTCTTCAGGAGATCCATGATGTTCAATGTCGAGATGTAGTTAGACTCGCTCCAAGTGGAGGACGAATCCACCCCGCTCAAGCAGGCCCTCGGGTCCGGAATGGTTGGTGCTGGTCCCAAGTTGCAGCTGTTTATGCTGGTGTTCTGTCGGTCCCCACGCCTCAACAGCGATCGGTCCGAATTTCATCTTCGGATCGCCCTGGGGCGAAGCTCCTCCACCCTGGGGCATGCCCATGGCCCTCCACCCTCGTCAGATGGGCTAAGAACATGGGCAAACGTCTGGGTCTGGAAACCACGGATGGTTGAACGTGTCTGAAAGAGTTTACTGTAGATGTACTAAGTAGTTTGGATTAATTAGATGTGCTTTGACCCACAACTGGCTGCCCTTTTCGAGATATGAGACACGTGTCCAGTCTCCCTGCCGACTTTTTTGCCAGGTCCAGTCTTCCGCTGCGGCACTTTGGCTACGAGAGACTTCGACTTGATGCGCCCATGCAGAACGATGGGACTCAGTTCTTCACAGTTCTTCAGACATCACTGGACAAGAAGTGGTCATCTCTCGCCCTCTGCCTATGGCAATGCAGGGCGGAAGATGACATCAGCTCTCAAGACATACTTCGTTCCGAAGGTCACCTGAGTCGCAACGCGTGTACAAGACACCGGGTCACCTGGGAAGCGGCACAGTGAGTTCAGAGCCTCCTGTTCCAAGTGAGTACATGTCATCATGTCACCCATGTCCGTGACTCGTCTCGTTCTGCCCATCGTGATGTGGATGTGCCACACGAAGGATGGAACTCGACCGGTGAGTGCATCAATGGTTGGGAGAATCACACAAAGCCCACCGAGGAAAGTGGTCCGAACAAAAGGTGCTGAAGATAGACCATAACAAAGAATGTCTTTGGGATCTGTATGGATCTGTGGCCATACACTCTGAAACCGGTAAAAGACACCAACATCTTCACCATCTTCCCTGCTTTCCCTGCTTCAATGCCGCTCACCTCGGCTTCCTCTTGGGGCGTACAAAGCTCACCCTGGGGGTACAACAGCGCCAGGCCCGTCATTGGTTCGAAGACCACCGGATCTTGGAACGGCACATGGAAGACGCCTCGAGCGAAACGCCAGACGTGAGGCACGGCGTGGTCTGAGCTGCGCGTCGGGGTGGTCGGGGTGGAGATGGGCGAGAACGAACGAATCGCGCTGGGTGTACAGCGCGAGGCACGGGGGTTGATCCACAACTGAAGCTGGCTTGAGGACCTATATACAGTATATAGGACCATTACTTTTTCTTGATCAGAAGAGTTGCCAGATCAAACAGCTGGACGTTGCTTAATTGCGATCGGAAGACTCATGAAGTCTATGCTGAGACTTACCTCCTTTCATTCAAAACGAGTCAAGCACCGGACCAGTGATCCGGACTCGTTGGCACGAGAGTGCGCCATCAACAGATCCGATCCGAAGCGAAGAATACGAGCTTATTAAGACGGAAAAACAAAGAAAAAACACGTCGAAATCTCGAAGGATCTCAGCTGAGATGCTCAGGCCACCCTCAAAGTGTTTGTCGGTTGACCCGTTCAAGAAGATTCGCAAGGAGTACTTGGAAACCCGTCCGTCCTGGAGACCGACCGAAACGGCGGGGAAGGAGGGAATGGTGAAGAGCAAATGGACCGTCTGTAATTAGCTGCTATAGACACTGTAGGGAGAGGTTGAAGCTCTCCCAGCGACCTGTTAAAAGGTGTTCTGAATTCAGTTTTGAAAGGAACTTATCGTGAGGACTACGGTGATTTAGGGTCTTTCGCACGACTGGTTACCGACTCCCAGCGACGCAACTGGATGGTTTGGGAACGATACTTGGCCTACAAATCATCTACCAGCACCACCCGATACTGGGTGGTTTGGCGTCACCCCGCCACTGACCAGGTATATGATCCACCCAGCCATCCTTTGGGCGGTGCTGGCAGATGATCACGTGAAGCCTTTCTCAACAACCCCGTTGACCGGCCCGAATGCAAAAAGACGAAAGCAAATTTGAGAAAGCCATTGGCAATGTCTTTTTGGCTGTGGTCACCCCCATCGATAAAGGATGTGAATGACACTTCAGGGTAACGGTTCTGTCGTTTGCCTCAAGTCTTTAACAGAGTTACAGCAAAGGTTTTGTTGAAGGTACCTGTGTGGTTGAGCCCATTCTGGAGCGGAACAAGCCAATCGATGATTGATCAAGTTTGTCATAAAAGTCCTGGATTCCTGGATCAATGACTTGGTAATTATATACAGTAGAATTTATCATTGCCTCTACTGCGATATCTGTTAACTACTTGGCGACTGGGCTTGTTGATGTCTATCACCGATATCTGCACCTACATCAAATAACCAAAGCTGAAAAAACAAATACATAGTAATACTAATATATAAGACAACACAACTAGTTGTTCCAAAGGGGTGCTCATTGGAAGGGTGCCCAGAACATTCACTCACTAGGACAAAAACCATTCCCACATGGACCTGCTGGTGGGATTCGATGTTTCTCAAACCCACGGTGAAGGCGATGTTGCTGGACCCCCCCCCCGGGTCGAGCCGAACAGTGTCACAATGATGAGCGAACAGATCACTTCAGAGGTCTCCACTCGTCACTCTCACAGTTTCATCTCCACGATGCCACGAGAGAGCAAAAAGAAATTCCGGCAAGAGACCCCAACCAGTGTTGACTGGAATAGAAGAAGAGAAGGGTAAATAAAACCAACTCAAGAACTGGTAGTGTGACCCCATGGAGACATGAATATATAAATTTTGATGAGTAAGCAGGTGGAGGCAATGTCGTGCCATACAAGACAGTGGGGACCAAGGACGGCACACAAACCACTCTCCAGATCAACCAGTCCAGAACTGCTGCAGCGAACGAACCGATGACCTCCCCACCATTTGATGGCTTCTCCTCCAGTCGAATGGGTCGGTCTGTGTGCAAGGCCACATGTCCACCCTGGACGAACTTCTGGATTCGGACCACTTCGTTCAGGCCACAGGGGATCCTGAGGCTAGCGCGGCGCCCAAAACGGCTTGGCTTCAGCTCTACGGCGGGAAAAGGCTTTAGGCAGCTTTTGGGTGGGCCAACAACTCGTGGGATGCCAAGAGATGTTTCAAGATGCACAGAAACCCGTGTTCTTGGGCGTCGGTGCATGGCTCGCTTCGAAAGGAACGGTTTCTGGGAGTCGGGCTCGTCCGTTCGGGAACGATCTTGGTCGCAGTTCGTCCATCGAATGCTCATGCCAGCCCAGCGAGGAGTCCTTTGAGAAGAAAAATCTATAGTGGATTGAGAGAACCAATGGCACAGACCGCAATGTCGGTGGTTTGTATGGACCCCCATCTGTCTCGGACATCATGGGGTCTGTGCCATCTACTCTGAAACCACTGTAACATATAGTGTATTATAAGGTATCATAATGAAGAAACTGAATATAGCTGGATAAACAGAACATGGACCTTTTAGGACTCTTTTTCAGTGGATCGCAGCAAATCCACATTTCTTTGCCCAGGTGTATCCTTTGGTCTTTGGAACACTTGGGGGCTAATCTGCAGCTATCAAGGGCGATATGATATCTGACGTGATTCAGGACACAACTCCTGGCTGATTCAGGATATGCAGCTCGAAGTTCGATCCCTCTCGAAGAGAAAACGGTCGATGGCTTTGCATGGAAAGGGCTGAAGCAGGGTGATCCCCGCACTTCCTGCGTAGGCTTCTTGACCAGTTCCATGGTCGGGGTGCTGAGCTTGGAGGATGGTAGGGGTGCCCCAGTCACGTCCACTCACTCAATTGCTTGACGAACCAAGACGAATCATTCCCAGATGGAACTGCTGGTGGGATTCTTTGATTCAAACATGTTGTCTCACCTGTTGTCTCAGTCGAGTTCTTCGATAGGCACACACAGAACCTACCTGCACCCACGAGTGATCGAGGTACTTCGTGACTCGGCGGGGGGGGGAACATCACCCAATCCCCTTTCCCAGACACTCCATGTATGCCATATATGCCTACATTGACCCCCCCAAACCACCCCAATGTAGGCATATACGGCATACATGGAGTGTCTGGGTTTGGCATGGGTTTGGAGGATCAAGGTAGGGCTCGAGGCTTAGGGTATTGATGCAGCTCTTGATCCACACAACTGCTGGATGGTGCAGTTGATGAGACATCCGCCAAGTCTCATTCCATCCAATCGCACGGTTCTCAGCAGCCAGCCGAGCCCAGACTTCCAAAGAGCTTCAGCGAAACCTTGGAGGTACCCAACAAGAATCAGCGGCAAGTAACTCATACCTCGAGCCCATTTGACCTCTGCTTTGATGGGCAAAGACCATATATTTTGTGTGGTTGGTGGTCCAAAATGGAGGTCACTCAAGCTCTAGGACTCTAGGTAATTCACTCACTGAAATAATAATGGGAGTGGAAAACCACCTGTTTGGTATTCAGATTTCATGGGGACCATTTTCCACTTCCATAAATAACTGGTTCAGGGAGTGTGCATGTCAAGAGTTCCAATACTTGACATGTTTTACCTCTTGAACACCAGTATATCTTCTATCAGTGTGGATCTTTGTAATTGAGTGTTACCACCTTCTGCCAATTCCGGCACTCCTATTCCGGCACTCCTGTGATATCTCACCACCCCAAAACCGCCACCCAAACCATCTCAAGACCTCTGAATGCCTGCTCAGTTCCCTCCTGAAATTGCTTCACAGAGGCTCGCATCTCTGATGTCCACGTAGCATAAATCCACCACCCTGAGCCGCACAAGGTCTCGGAAGTGGCAGCTCTCGGCGAAGTCGATGATTTTTTCGCACTCCTTCGGCGTCAGCGATGGCCTCCACCCTAGTACCAAGAGAGGGTGAACAGCCCTATAGCCCATCCGTACCACTGCAGGGTCCTATATGGTCTCTCAACCTCTCTTGGTAGCTTCTAGCTATACCAGTAGCTTCTTGTTCATAGAGTATAGTTCCCGAACAGGGTGAGGTGAAAGCCCGAGCTGGGCGGCATAACTTGATCACGTTCAGTAGTAGTAATTGCCTCCACCTACCAGCGATGGCTCTCCAACCTAGTAGCGATGGCCTCCTACGAAAGCTCTGGAAAACACAGTGCCTTCACGGTCTGCGGGTTGGTTGTGGTGACCTGGTGGTGGTGAAGGTGGTGATATGTCTGGTTCTAAAGTGACCCAACAATGGTTTGGAAAGTGACGACTAGAAAAGGGGTTGATAGTGGAAATCAAGTTTAAGTCAAGCCTGTAGTTTTGGGGGTACTGGTTAATGTTGCTACTGTTCCTTAACCTTCAGCTGCGGCACTTTCTAGATGTTGCATCCTTTTTTTCATGAGCTTTGAAGGGCTCTGAGTGTCCTTTGAAGAGGATTTGAAGGTTCCTCGTGACTTGTTAATGTCTCATCCATATCCCTTTTGTATCCATTTATTCAATCCCCTCGTCACAAACTTATCACAAGCTCCAACGCTTTCTGGGGCCTTCCCCAATGATAACCAAGAGTCGAGGACTTTTGCGACAGACCTGGTCATCGGTACGTGCCAAAATCCTTGCAACACCTCACATGGTCAAGGTGAATTGGCCCCGGCCTGACACACCACGCCTGACCCATCGATCAGTCCTTCTGCGACAGGAGAGAAGGGATACCCATGCAATCCACATTGCGATAGTACAAGGGTTCTGGAAATCGGTTCTCTTCAAAGATGAGTGAGAGGGCAGATCGAGTCCTGAATCACGTCACGCACAGTTGACAAGTTGTGTAACCAAACACAGGATAACATGGGCGATGTACATGTCTCTTGAAGCATGATCCTGGATTCCAGAAAACTCCAGATTGGAAAGCAACACAAAGAGAAGTTAAGGCCAACTGTTAAGGTTATTGTGTGTGTGAACACGATTGTACTATAGCATATCAAAACTGGTTGGGACCGGGTAGAACTCAGCTTCCACCCATGCTATTCCGGAACAAAAAAGGGGATTCCAGCTTTGCCCCACAGCTTTGCCAAATCAACACGTAAAGTAATTCTGCGATAAAAACGTGTTTGAACCACCCACTTCTGCACATCCTCCGACGCGCGCGGCTGGGAAAACGCCCAGGTACCGGCATCTGGGGCGTCCGCCTTTGGGTACTCCTTGCGGTGCTTGGATGACCAATTGCACGTGAGGCGAAGTCAAAGATTCCTGCAGGCTCACCTCACCCAAAATTTGCGGAATGAGTCAGAACGCCCTGTAATGAGCACGTCGCAAGTGATTTTTGCGCACGAGGCTGGTGTTTGGAGGATGCCGCAAAGGAGGAAAGAAGCCCAATGTTGGGGTGAAGGTTCTTTCATCTTCTTTCCTATATACACAACACCATCTTTGGGAGTCATTTCCACCTTTCGGACCGGTGTGGGTCAACTCCGAGTCAATCCTTCGACTCAGATTGGATGAGACTTCAGTCCAACACATGACTGGCAAACCGCTGACCCGTCCGACCACGTCCGCTTGGGAAACAAAAACACTACCACTACCTCTGTTCGTCGCCCTCTGAGTCGTGTTCCCTGCATGCCCACGGTGGTTGACTGGGGGGGCAATGGGGCGGCATATACGGCAGTCCCAGACGGGTCGCGTCTGGGTACTGAACCTCATCATTTCCATTCCTTGACCATCCCCCCCTTTCCGATTGTGCCCATGCAAGCCACTGGTAGCGGGAGAGTCGAGACTTTGTTCACCTTCCTCCAGGTACGTTCAGGAGCGCTGCTCGCAGCTGGTATGCAGTCTTCATCTTCCTCCCCTGATGGAGCGGAATCGTTTTCCCAAACAACTGGCACAAGAGAGATCTGAGCGGTTTGTCCTAAATACAAGGCATTTTGTAAGCACAAGGCATCTGCATTAGATAGAGATACAAGTATGGGGGATCTAAATACCAGTTGGAAATGTCATCTCAAATGGTCCATCAGTGAGAGACTATCGTCTGTTCTCATCGTCCGTTTTGGTTGATTCGTGCCTTGTAACGCTCGACACGGAACGAAGAAAGAAGTCTTGTCGCGCCACCTGCTCCGACACTTTGGTCGGCGCCTCCCAAAAATAGCACACCGCGTGTACATCATGTCCAGATATCAAATTTGCTTATTAACTTAGGTTTGAAGGCCATCGCTATTGGGTTGGAGGCCACCGCTGTCGCTAATAGGCTGGAGGCACTGGTGGAGGCCATTGCTATTAGGATGGAGGCCGTCGCTATTGCGTTGGAGGCCATCGCTATTAGGTTGGAGGCCATTGTTATTAGGTTGGAGGCCATTCTGCTCGGATCATCTCTTCATCTGTTCCATCCACCATCCCCAAACTCTGGGCCCTCCAAAGACCTCCATTGGCCGGTGATGACCGGTACCCCATCCACCCAGAACCTCTCCAGGCCTACATAGGCCCGCGCACGTGCACGCAGTTCTGCACGCGGCGCGCAGTTCTGCACGTCGGCGAAGCGGAGACCCTGATACGCATTGCTGCGATAGACCGAGACCTCTCCCACATAGCTGCGCCGCATGGCGCCAGCATGAATGAGATGTGCGCTTCTTCTTTTTGTGGGAGCGCCGAAAGCCGTGCTCTTGCGCGTGAAAATTGTCTCGGTCTCCAGCAGATGAAAAAGACATGTCTATAAAAAGGTCGGAATCTGTTTGGAAGGGAGGGTTGTTAGATGTTGTTAGGGCCCGAGCAGTCTCTCAACGACCTGTGTTCGGGTCCTGGTTGATGGATTTTGTCCAGTCGATCGCTTCCATTATTTGAGTGATTTTTCCACAACAGCTGTCATTCTTGATTGCCGGCATGAATTCAGTTCCCGAGGCGGATGGATTCAGGTTTCAATGATTCGCTGGCAATCCAAGAAATGCATTCGCCTATTAGATCAAATAGATCCGTCTTTCCCATGCTCTTTTTCTTCCTGGCAGCTGTCATGGAATCTTCATCACTTGAGCCATGGATAAACATGGAAATCACTTGGTTGTGATTACCCTGTCCACTTGGATCCAATTAGGGTGCATATACATGAAACATGTACAGACTCCCCACATCTTTCAATCAGACCCTGTTGAAAAAAAAACAAAGGGTAATTTGCGAGAGTCAAACCCTATACAGTATGATATGATGATTGAGAGGGATAATTGTAGTATTATGTCTGACTTGTCCTACCTAGCGTGTTGGGGCTCCAGGTTTTGACCCATCCCCATTTACGTGTCTATTCGATTTAAAGATTTCTAAGGTGATTCAGTCCATCGCTCGTCTTCCACCTACAGGTGATGTTCGGCCACTCCTTTGCCAGCTGTACCCCCGCAGGTTTCCACTCGTTTCTTGCCACCTTCCTGGCAGACGTGGCAACTTCTTCCACAGAATCACCTGAACCCTTTTTGGTGCCTCTCATATTATAGGTCTCTAGCTGTGACCCTTTAGAGAAAAGGAGTCGCATGTTCTTGAAATCTTCTAAAGAACTTGATATCGTCCATGTGTATTGGATTGTCACAACGTAGTGATGATGATGCTGCAGCCATGGATCATTTCTGGGTGGGCAGCTAATATGATTCTCAGACATATCGTTGAAAGAGAAGCCTTGCTCCGGGCCTCATCCTGGAAGTTGAGTCTTTGAAGCAGCTGGCGCTGATGAGTTTCCACCGTCGCATGAATATCCTCGGGTCACGGGGGTCTCTTTCGACGGCGAAGAAGAGGCGAACAACGGCGGCGAACACCGACCTCACGAGTTTCACGACCTGCCGCGTTTCACCGCGAGTTTCGATTCGTGCGAGTTTCGATTCAACGTGTCAACGTGTCAAGCTTCCCACACACTCCGAAGGTAGAAGATCTGGTCACCAGGTCAAGCCAGGTCAATCCACCACCCCCGCTGATGGGTCCCCAGTCCTCTCGTCTCACCGCCCCTAGGGACCCGTACCGCCAGGGTCATGGAGCCTAGCTGGACCAGGTCCCCCCCAACAACCCGGTCCAGAAATGGGGTGCGGTTCAAGGTTCAAAGAGGAACTCCCCAAGGTCTGTCAGGTCTGTTCTTGTAACTTGTCACTGTGATTTTTCTCAGTATACCTTGAAGTTGAGTCTGTCCGTTTCCATAAAAGGTATGGGTCAAAGGGCTATGACATACCTCATGTCTTGTTGTCACCAACAAGGTGTTTCCTCCACTTTGACCCTCGCGCTGAAAGACACGATCATCAAAAGCAAGCCTCGCAATACGTCTTGTCTTGTTGATCCTTTTTGAGGTTACTATACCCTATATAAGCAGTCTGATCGATTCCTATACAGACATTTTCAAAAGTCTTATGCCTCCCACACTCACATATGTGAGTGTGTTTGGCGGTGATGTGGGCATCTATATAAGTCACTTCTGAGGCATCCTGCAAGACTCTTTGACTGAGCAGACAGGCGATTTCACTGATGTCACAGATTGCAGCTGAGCTTTTTATGTATATAGAGTGTCTCAGCGTGTCTCAGGAGGAATCAAAAGAGAACCCAAAGACCATCCGACACCAACTCTTCACGTATCGACCTATGGAACAGCAATCATCTGGCTGGTGCAGTCAACCACCATGTGTTCCCAGAGGTTCTGCCTTTGTCTTCTGATTGTTGTTGCTAAGTTGTTACTCTTTCAGAGAACTTCACGAGGTGGTGGTGCGAGCACTTTGGACAATGACTGAAGTCGATCGTATTTTGTGGATCTCAGTATCTCTAGAGAAACCTGCTTGTGCCACTGCCAATGCCTGAATGATTTGTGCGATCCCTGGTTCATTTGCTTAGAAAAAGAGGGAAACCAAAAGGGTCTGGTGGACATCCACTTGCCCAAAAAGTCCATGGCGCCAGACCTTCCCTTTGGGGTACCTGCTTTTCGTGCTTTCCATCGGGTTCCGTCTCCCCTGTGCCACCACGACCTGCCTGGACTCTTGGGACTTCGGTCGTCGGCCTTGGCGAAACGGACGGACGCGGATGCACGACGCAGGTCCGAATGGAGCAGGTTCCGTGCCGGAACAAGTCTCAAGCATATAAAATATATATATATATATAATACTGTATACGTTGCAAGTGGTATGCTGTACACGATGCCAGTCACTATGGAGTGTCCTGGGGGGCCGGATCCCTCCAATCGGTCACGACGATGTTTGTGTCTTGCTCGATCCGTCGATCGGCGCGCCGTCCTGACTCCTGGCAAATCAGAGGAGTCGATGCTAGGGTCGGAGCACGTGGAACCCCAAAAGCACGGACCAAGTGGAACCAGGATGAAGGACAATGTTGTTCGACCACGAGTCAATTCCGGTCGGGATGGTCTGCAGGGGAAGGCTCGGGTTCGATGTTCTATGCGACTTGGGGATATGATGCCCTGATGCCCTCTATGAATCAATCTCAAGCAAGAGTGAAAGGCCGCACCGGCAGCACGGTGATGCAAGCTCTGCGGTGCGGTCGTTGAGTCGTTGAGGGAGATAGATGGAGAGATATGTGGTGCTTTAGGATCGTGGGATCGTGGCATGCATCAACCTGAAATCAAAGAGGCACAAACCGAAAGCACAAACATGGGGAGTCCGAGAGTCCTTCATCGCTAAGGCGCGGCGCACCCCAGCAAAACCAGCCCATTGGCAAGGTAGAGAAAGGCATGTCACAAGGAAGGGTTATTGGCTGGTCATAGAAACATAGAAAGGATGGAGGCCATCGCTATTAGGTTGGAGGCCATCAATATAGGTTGGAGTTTGCTGCTGAAGTGATCTGAAGGTCTATCCAATGATCCCACAAACCTGGAGGATCACCAATGACCCAGATCATCGTGGTGTCCCCACATCGAAACCATGGAAGCTGCGATGTCGGTTCTGAGAAGCAGATCGAAAAGGCAAAAAACATGAGAACACACCCACATTCACCATACTCACCACGCCCCATATTACTATATGTCCCAGGAGTTCCCAGTGATCCCAAGTGAGTCGGAGAATGGGCACCCCCCGGACTTCTTCAGAGCACACAACTCCAGTAGAAACGCCAAACACTCCAGGTCTTTCTGAAACAAACAAAGGAGCTAAAATCAATGACCAGCTTTAAAAAGACAAAACAGAAGGGTGTAACAATGGATAAGCATCAGAAAACATTTACGATCTACAGGAAACCATGGTTGTAAACTCCAAACCTATGAGTTTCCTGTAAATATTCCCTGAAGCCAACTCTGGGAGTGTAGACTCAGCAGAAGAACCATGCTCAAACCATCCTCTGTGGACTTCGGCCTGTTGCTTTCAACCTCTCTGGGTACCCCCCACCGTCTCGCCCGGGGTTGTTACCACCATGGCGGGCTAGAGTGCGGGCTCTGGCGTGCGCAGCGAGCACCAACAGGCGATCTCTTGGGATCGTTGCGTGGTGAGTTCTGGGATCTCTTCGGCTGATTCTGCATGTGTAGGTCACAGCGGAGGGGTTGTGTATCTTACTTAAATCCTTGCAAAGAGAGGAAGAAGAAACACCAACAGAAACTCCGCTTGGCGCGCACTGTGGGTAGGTTGATCCATCTTTTCAACTTAGATCCATCTGCCAAGCGCTGGATTTGGGCCACAGCTTTGAAAAGCCAAGCGCCGGGGCCCGGCTTTGAGAGCTAGACGGACTTCCTCGAAAAGCCAAGCTTCTGACAGGGGGCCCACATACGTCTTGAAAAAGGGCTGGCCGTGACTAGAGTGCATCCCGTTTCCCCGGCCAAGCTCCCTGTATTTTTTTGAGCTGTGAAAGGAGAGGGCATACACCTGTTTCTTCCAACAACGCAACATGTTTGTGTATAATGTATCTTGAAATCTACACAACCACCCAAGGCAAACAAGTGGCATAGGAAGTTGGAAAATCTCGGTATGCCAAACTTGAAAGACCTATCCAGACACTCCATGGACTGGCATATTTACAAACATTGACCCCTGAAGCCTGAAACCACCCCAATGTAGGTATATATGCCAGTCATATGCAGTCCCATGGAGTGTCTGGGTATATACTTCACAGGGCTGGTCGTTTTGGGTGTCATCACAAGAGATTCCACTGCCATGGGTCGTGGTGAAGATTCGTCCACCAGCAGTCAGATTCACTTTGGCTTCGAACAATAGACACACAAATAGCATCGACAGGGACAAGTTTGACAGTCGGGTCAGAAAACGACCCTGACAGGGTCAAATGTGTCACCTGTTCCAGGGTCAAATTAATTACACTCTCTCACTCACTAACGTGCGTTCGACTACTTTCTTCTACAAACAGTGGGTTTTCCACTTCCATGTGATGTGTTCGTCGGAATGTACTTGTTTTGGCAGGTCATTACGTTGTTCGTCCGGTCTCACGTGTCTCGTGGGCCGTGGATGTCGTGGTTCGGAGGAACTCTTTCCTCAGCTTTGGCTGTAGCCGCTGAATTCCCCTTTTTGGACCGCTTCTACTGGCTTCTTGCAGCAGCTTGCAGCTTCGTTGGCTGCGAAGGATCTGTGATCACTCAGTGTAGTCCATGCGCATCATGAGAGTCCTAAGCCAAATATGGTCAAAATGCATCAAACGGATCGAATGATTGCATTCCCTTAATTTCACCGGTCAGGGCGGGTTCAGGCCA